ATGGATTTGGATATGGTGAAGCAATGGCGGCTAAGCAATGGCAGTCTATATATCTGTATGCAATTTGCTTTGATATAACACATATTGTATACCATCTTCACTAATACATACATGTTCTCGCACACTTTGCCCAAGTCTGTGCATTCACTCTTTTTCTTTTATTGGACACCTGGATGGAAACCTTGGTGGCAAAATTCAGAGAAATGCAAATTTCAAAATGAAGGCTGAATTTCAGATCAGACAGATTCACCTTTCAAGGCTGGATTTCTCCTGTCTACCCCTCATGCATAGCTCTTGGTGGCTTCCGTTAAGTTCTGTGGGACAAAGTTTAATGGGCTACAGCAAGCTGAGAGAGCAAGACACTTTGTACCCTGGTGCAAGACAACTCTTGAGCAGAAAGCAACCCTTCCTGGGAAGCTCCCTGTATAGTTTTTAGGGTTTCACCCATGTCCCTCTGCTGCTGTTGCCATGACACCTGCTCCCTTCAGCTAAAATACCCCACCAGGGTGAAGCTGGGGGTGGGGTGGGGGAGAAGGAGTCGCACTGCTCATAAATTAAGGACACAGCAGGGGATGGGAGGAGGAGGCAGAAGTCGTGTTTATCTGCCAAGGGACACCATATCCTCCTTGCCACCGAATGCGAGAGTCAGTAAAAGGTTCTTTCCCCAGCTGCCACTGGGACCGGCCTGTCCCCGGGGCCTGTGAATGGCTGATGAAACCCAGGATAGGGCCTGCAGGGATGGCGGCCGCCTCTGCCTCCCCCTCCTCCTTGGTTATTTAAAAGGCAGGTCAGGTTTCTCAATCTGGCAGGCGTGCAAAATGCTAAGGGGGGGGGGCTGGCGGAGAGGAAGAGGGAGACTGCAGCTCTTAAAATAGAAACATTTCCTCCCTCCTTTTTCTCTCTAACACACACACATTCCCTGCATATTAGCCGACCCTTTCTCTAGACAGATTTTCCCTTCCACTTTTTTCATCTAACCCCCCCCCTCGCCCGCCTTAGGTTCAAGATGGTTCCTCTTCCTCACTGTCCTTTTATCACTCAGCGACTGGGCTGGATTAATCATTATGCTAAGTAACCTACAGAGCAGGGCTCCCACCTAATTAGGGTCCCTGCCAGGATCTGATTACAGGCATTCCAACTGTCTGCCCTTGTTTACTAGGGGACAATTCGAGTTTTCTGGTACCTGCTCCTGTGTGTGTGTGTGTGTGTGTGTGTGTGTGTGTCTGCATGATCTTGGGGGTCCTGCACAAAAATGCAAGCACATACATACGTCAACCAGAATTCTTTAGGCTTCATTCTCTCCCCCGCCCCCCCAATCTTTTAGATCAGGGATGAGGAACCTGTGGCCTTCCAGGTGTCACTGGGCATCACGCTTGACCATTGGCTAAGCTGGCTGGGGCTGATGGGAGATGCAAGTCCAGCAGCATCTGGAGGGACCATCTGTAGTGCCCATCTCTATGGCAAGTGATGAATCTCTGCACTTTGGCTCTAGCACACAGGCATCTGAAGCAAGGTACACATTGCCCCTCCTCCACCGCCAGCCTGTATCAGTGCCTATCCCAACACTGGATGTGCCAAGCTTTTCCAAAAAAGTGCAACCTTACGCAGGTCCATTCTGAGATAAAACATTCTGTTAAACAAGTGGGAGTCAGTGTGTGGCCGTGGCTGGACAGTCTGACTACAACCTGAGAGACCAGGGTTCAAATCTCCAAGAAGCTTACTTGGTGACCTTGTCCCTGTTTCAGCCTAGCCTACCTAATAGGGCTCCTGGGATAAAACAGAGAGCCAGGGTAATATACCACCTTGAGCTCCTTGGAGGAATATGCAATACCTCAAGGACTGCCTCTCTCCATATGAACCTACCTTGACCCTGAGATCATCCTTGGAGGCCCTTCCTTATGCGCCTCCTCTGTAAGAGGTCTGACAACATGAGAACAGGCCTTTTCTGCAGTGGCTCCCCATTTGTGGAATGCTCTCCCCAGGGAGGCTCACCTGATGCCTTCATTATACACTTTAGGTGCCAAGCAAAAACGTTCCTATTCAACCAGGCCTTTGACTGACTGACTGACATCTTATACCCCTATTAAATGTGTTTGTAGGAGGGGGTAGCGGGGGGGGGGTGATTGGTTTGTGGTTTTTTTGTTCTTGTTTTTATCATGTATTTTGTACTTTTATTTTGTACTTTTATGTTGTGAATCACCCTGAGATCTGTGGATGAAGGGCAGTACAGTGGTACCTCAGGTTAAGTACTTAATTCGTTCCGGAGGTCCGTACTTAACCTGAAACTGTTCTTAACCCGAAGCACCACTTTAGCTAATGGGGCTTCCTGCTGCCGCCGCGCCACCGGAGCACGATTTCTGTTCTCATCCTGAAGCAAAGTTCTTAACCTGAAGCACTATTTCTGGGTTAGCGGAGTCTGTAACCTGAAGCGTATGTAACCTGAAGCGTATGTAACCCGAGGTACCACTGTATACAAAAGTAATAAATAACAATAAAGGGAACTAAAGGGAACTAAAGCAAAAGGTTGCAGTGTGTGGAGTGTTCCTGTTCACTGTTCCAGTCAGACAACCATGGCCTCCCGTACAATACTGTTTGATTTCTTCTACCCCCCCCCGGCACCCCCCCGCTTGACTTTTCCATTCCCCCCCCCCCTGGTAAATTAGCATTGTGTGCTCATTGGGTATGCTTAGTCTGCCCTGAACTTTTTTCTTTTTTAGCTGCTACCCGTTTTGGATTTTGGATTCTCCCTCCCCTAAATATTTTTTGTACTTTTGAAAACCTTATGGCTTCCTCAAGCCTGCTAACACCTCTCTCTGGTGCATAGGGGGTGCTGTTTTGGCTACATAAGGCATGGCACTCACACCTTGAACTGGAGGGATGACGTGGGTCTTGCAACACAGTGCACAGCTCTGAGTTCCAGACACACCACCCCAAGTTGTTCATACCCAGTGAGCATGCTCAACATTCACTGGCCTGGGTCCCGTTCCCCCTGAGTTGCCCCCTCCATAATTTTTGCAATTTATGTAAACCTCAGAGGTTTCCCCAACCACTCTGATACATATTCTTTTTGCGTGGATTTTGGCTGTATAATGAGACACAGAATACTGATATTAGTGTATGTGATGATACCCTTGCATTTAATACAGTGGTACCTCGGGTTAAGTACTTAATTCGTTCTGGAGGTCCATACTTAACCTGAAACTGTTCTTAACCTGAAGCACCACTTTAGCTAATGGGGCCTCCTGCTGCTGCTGCGCCGCCGGAGCCCGATTTCTGTTCTTATCCTGAAGCAAAGTTCTTAACCTGTAGCACTATTTCTGGGTTAGCGGAGTCTGTAACCTGAAGCGTATGTAACCCGAGGTACCAGTGTAATAATAAACCCAAATACTGTTAAGCAATAGAGGCTGCTTCCATTAGGGTGAATGGAGCTCTGCCTGCCAGCTTTCTCCTCCTCTGTCTCCATGTTGTCCTTGTTGAACTCAGCAGGGAGGGGAGGAGGGGGACAAAACAAGAAGGAGTTGTGTCATTGGCTCAGGCTCTGCCTGTTATTGGCTCCGGCTCCACCTGCAGTTGGGCTGCCTGCCTTCTGCCCTACCAAAGGTGGCCAACATGGTGCCCTCCACATAATAATAACAACAATTTATTATTTATATGCTGCCCATCTGACTGAGTTCCCCCAGCCGCTCTGGGTGGCTTCCAACAAATTAAAACACAATGCAAAACCACATGTGGTTGGACTCCGACTCGGCTCAGCCCCAGATGACCCCAATTCCCCTTGGGCCATGCCAGCATAGCCAATGATCAGGGATGCTGGACATTGCGTTCGAATAACTCCTGGAGGGCGACAGGTTCCCCAGCCCACCAGACCATTGTGTGGCTTCTCTTGTTTTGTACAGTAGGCTCTTGTGTGGTAGGATTCAGTAAAATAGTTTGCTAATATGTCACCTTCTCCCCCCCCCCCTTTTACTTTCTGTGCTGGTAGTAGTTGCTGCTGCTTTGTGGAACATCAATAACCATTCAGAAACATGCTGCTCTGTCCATGCTACTAATCTGCTCAGGGAAAATGTGGATGGGGGAACATGGATATTAATTTCGTTCCTAATTCCCCCTCAAAAAAAAAAAAATATTTAAAACGTGGTGATTGGGGATGAGGGAGAAATTGGATTCAGTTCGCATTTTAGGTAAACCTACCTAATTTGCACTTTCTGGATCAGTACACAAACCCATGCTTTGAAATTTGCACCTTTGCTTTGCCTTTTCTCAAATTGTAGAAATTGTGTATATTGGACAAAATAGAATACAAATATATGTATATTAGCGGAAATTAACACTACTGCTGAATTTTCATGAGGACTTTTGTTCGTTTTTTTCATTGCAAACAAATGTGGAAACGAGGAGAACTAAAATGAGAAACTGAAAGAAACTGAAATGGACATATTTGCCCATCCCTAGTGGCAATGAATGCAGTGGGGAGGAGAGGTTTGATTTGAATCTTGGAAGTTAGAAACTGTCTTGAAACACCCTGGGCCTGGCCTTCAGAGCTGCTGGCCATACCTTGGCACTGCAAGACTTAGGATCGGAATGTAAATTGGTTTAAGTCCAGGCTCAACTGGGTTGTTGATGGGGCTATAAAAAGCCTCTTGACAGCCCTATTATAAACCATACACACTAATCCCCTATCCATCATTTCATCCCTCCCTCCCTCCCTCCCTCCCGAGCTTGCAGATATAGATATATACGGTTTGCAATAGATCTCTTGCAAACCCAACCCCACTTGATCGACCTAAACTGTAAAAATAATCCAAATCAAAACAAGGTAAGGCCGTAAAGGAGGAGAGTGGGGAGCCCTTGTATTTATTCACAGCGAGTGGTTGTTGTAATCTCTTTAGGATCCAAGCCAGGAGGGGTGTGTATATCTCTCTGTGTGAGTGAGTGTGCAGAGGTGGGGGGGGGGGAGGGAGGGAGGGAGGGAGGAGAGAGAGAGAGAGAGAGAGAGAGAGAGAGAGAGAGAGATGGGACTCACCGGCCTGCAGTCATGCATTATTGATAATAACAGCCGTGCCTCTTTAACTGGCTTTGCTCTACGACACTTGAGGGTGCGTGCATGAACATGCCTGCAAGCGGGTGTGTGTGCGTGTGAGTGTGTGTTGAGGGAGGGAAACAGGCAGAGAGAGAGAGAGAGAGAGAGAGAACCAACGCCAGCATCTTTCATTCCCTGCACTCTGGATAACCATCTCTTGATTTTTGCTGGGGGGGGGGGAGAGGAGGAGAGAAAAGAAGGGGACGCCTATTTTCCCATCGCTGCCACCTCTTCTGCAGCTCCATTCATCCTGATCTGGTGGGATGCTTCTCCCCGAGTATTCCCCCCCCCCCAGGTTGTTGTTGTTAGTATTATTCTCTCTCTCCCCCCTCCCTCTGTCTCCCATCTCCATTTCTGAAAACAACAGAGACCAGCCGTGGATTCTCCTCTGAGCAGGCTGGAAGCAGGAGGTTTGTGCGCTGGAGGAGAGGGGAGAAGGAAGAAGGTTCCCTGGCTGAGGTTCTCCATCAGGCTGGATTGGAAAACAAGGGAGATTTCGACTCCTCTTTGCTGTCCCCCCCACCACCACCTCTGGCATCCCTCCATCCGGTCCCTGATGCTTCTCTTCTTTACATGAAAAGGCCGTCGGTGTGCGGAAGGCATGGCATGAGCTAAAACGACTCTCCTGGAGGTAAGCATGCTGCATCTGTGTCTTTAATCCTTTACGGCACAAATATCTTTCTCCCCCCCCCTCTCTCTCTCACGCTTGCACACACTCTCCTCCCTCCCTCCCTCCCTCCCCCCTGAATACCTTCCCACCAGGTATTGATGTCTGTAGGACGGCATCCCACCCAGAGGGTTTTTCTTGCATTTGCACCACCAAGGGAGAGACCATCCAGGGGCTGTAATTACATCCCTCCTCAATGAAGATCAGAGCATCTCAAAGCCAGTGTTACATAAGGACAAACCTCCTTGCTTTGCTTAACAGGGATCCGACTCTGTGTTTCTATCTGTCTCCAGCAGATACTCTAATATAGTCTGGCAGCCTAGGTGGTGGTTGTTTTTAGATGGGGGGGAGGGGGGAATTTGACCCCTCCTGCTCAAACACCCCCCTCCCCCAGTTTTGGTTTGCTGCATTGAATGGAAATTTTAGTGGATTGCTACCAAGGCGATCTCATCGAGAGGCTGGGTGTTGAGTGGGACACACTGTTGTTGTTGTTGTCATTCTTTTTTGGGGAGCTGCTGTTGTGATTCATGGATTTGGGGGGTGTCTTGATGGCGCCATTTCCTGATCCCCATCTGGGCTGGCCGAGAGGATGTGGCAGTGAGATGGTTGATTTTTGGGCCCCACGTGGATCTCTTAGTTTGGAAAGAAGGTAGACTGGGCGAAAGAAAACAGGGCGAGCCTGACCTGACTGTTTTGGATTTTGCTTCTCTGCCCAGTGGAAAGAGAAGAGGGCCCTGCTGTTTGGTCTCTTGCCTTCCATTGTGGTTGAAAAATGGTTTGTTTGTTTTTTAAAGAAAGAAAGAAAGAAAGAAATAGTAATAACAGCGCAAGAATTTTTGTTTGATGTCGTATATCCACTTCTATGTGGGTCTTGAGAGTCCACTGCTAGGAACACTTGCCTGGGAGTAAGCTCCACTGAACTCATCAAGAATTATTTCTATGCACAGATTTGGTCTGCACAAATTTAATTTTCTGGACCTTCCCCCCCCCCATACCTATGCTTTCCCCTAAGAACCTCTGGTACAAAAATAAAAATAAAAAAACAGGTTGACTGGCGCAGAACAAGAAATGACCCAGGAAAGTGTCACCTGTTACATGTTTTTTCAGGGTTCTGTAGTTAAAGGCACATCAGAAGGGTTGGGGGTTTTTTAATTTAAAAAGTGGCAGCACTATCATAAGCTCCCATTCCCATATATATGTATACACAGAAAGAGCAAATAGTCTACTTGGGGGTTCTGCCTAGAGACTGCCAAGAGCCGAGATTTGGAATGGCACTGTAGTGATCAGCAGCCATAGAGGAGACACCAATGGCAGATTTCATCAGGATGCTGTTTGGCTTGCCTGTTATTGTTTCGAAATGCAGTGGATTTATTTTTGGGTTGGTGATGCGAGGGCTGTGTTGTTTGGAAGATGTCTCTGCAGCTTTCTTCCCATGCTTAAGAGAGAGGTCTGTGGCTAGCTGGAGAGCTTCTGTTTTCTCGTTGAATTTGGGGCTTGGTTTCTTTCTAAAATGACTATTTTGGAGGCTCCAACTTGTGTGCTCTGTCCTGAAAATCTTGATCCCTTGTTCCATGAGTGTGGCAGCTGGTGAGATGTGGTTCTCTCCCTACCCCTGCTAACAAGCAGTAGAGTTGCCAACTCTTTTTCTAGCCTCTGCTCCTGCACCTTTCCCAATAGCTGGAGCTGAGCCACAGATGTTGTCAGATGAACAGGTGTGTGTCCTTGCACTCTGAAAGCTTCACCTGCTGATATCTGCCCATGAAGCAGCTGTGAAAGGCAGAAGAAGAAGCCTAGGCCATTTTTATTTTCTGGTCAGTTGGAAATTCCAATGGTTGGTGAAACATATCCTGGCATATGCCAGATGTGCTGCCCTCTCTGTTTGAGAACTGAATTCTGATATGAAAAGAGGGTTGTGGTGTAAACATTGTGAAGGTGTGAGAGAGAGCTGATAATAATTCCGTCTTAATTTAGCACTGAAAGATGCCGCAGTTGTTAACTAAACAGGGCTGGTAGTCGTGCAAGTTTAGCTGTGCTGATTCCCCATAATAACAGAAACAATGAGCAGATTATGGTGGGCTGTGTTCTTCACTGTTTCTGTTCTAAAAATGGCCATTCCCTGGTTAAATTGTGCCTGCTGCGTTGGAAATCCATAATCGCTAAGCCCAGACATGTGGGAGCTGGCTGTGGCTATTCTCAGTAGTGGCAAACAAAACGTTTTGCATATGCTCAAAGAAACGATTTTCTGTGGGGTCCATGCCTGCCATTAGAAAGATGGGCAAGGGGTCACCCAAGGTTCAGTTTCAGCATGCTGGGTTGGTTGGTGTTTGCTTCACTCTGTGTAAGAGCTCATCCACATTTCTGCTTGTCCTGTGCCCAAAAAGATTAGGTCCAAGCGGTTTCACACTTGACCCACACTTTCTAGACACTGGTCCGAGTGGTTTTGCCTTTGCACGTGACACTTTCCCCGGGATAACCCTCTCCTTCACACTAAATCAGAACAAATGAAAATCCATGGAAAACCCAATGGCCATTTGTTCCAATGCAGTGCAAACAACTGGGCTTCCCCAGGAAGAAAATGGTGGGGCAAAGGAAGGTATGGAGAAGCCCTCAGCCAGGCTTTCATAATCTGGTTCCTTCCAGAGGTTTAGGGTGGCAGCTCCTGTCTGGGACTGATGAAACAATAGCCCCAAACATCTGGAGGGCATAAGAAGATCCCTGATGGATCAGGCCAATGCCCATCTAGTCCAGCATCCAGTCTTCTTTTAAAGACATCCAAGTTGATGGCCATCACTTCCTCCTGTAGGAGGTTGTTGTTTTGGGTTGTTAGTGGAGAAATCATCTGCAAAATTCCTGCTTTTTTCACTTGAAAAAAAAAAGAGAGAAAAGCTGTTAAAAGGTAGCAATGCTGGTACTGTGTGACTGTGTATCCTGAAATATTTCACAAATGAATTTAGGAATGCTCTTGTGTCTATAAAAGGGCAGCCTCCTTATCATACCAAGGATTTTCATCCATTTGTATTGCCAGAGTAGCAGGTGACAGATCCCCACTCTGAGGACCTTCCAATTTAAATCAGGGTTGGGGGAACCTTTGGCCCTCCAGATGTCGCTGAACTACAACTCCCATCATCCCTGGCCATTGACCATGCTTGCTAGGGCTGATGGGAGCTGTAGTTCAGCAACATCTGGAAGGCCTAATGTTCACCACACCTGTTCTAAACCAAGGAAAAGGAGGGAAGTGCAGCCAGAATAAACAGAGGAGGAATATTGGCATGTTTCAGTTGCATGTGCTGAGGTTTGGCTGCAGGCTCAGTTAGATGTGGGAAGTGGGAGGCTGTGCGAAAAGGTTCAAAGAGAAGGTGGCTCTTCAGGAGGGATCTGAAGGCCCAAGCCGACCAGTCATTATACATGACTCTCATAAGAATGAAAGAAGAGCCTGCTGCATGGGGCCAATGGCACATCTAGCCCACCGTCCTGGCTGCCCAGATTCTTGTGGGCAACCCTCAAGCAGGACTTGAGCACAAAAGCACAGCTACCCCACCCCATCGTTTCCAGCAACTGATCCTGGAGGAAGAACATAGCCATTGTGCCTAGAAGCCATTGATCAACTGATTCTTCAGGAATTTGTCTAATCCTATTTTAAAGCCATCCACGTTGGTGGCCATATCATGGACCCTTGTGGCAGTGAGTTCCATAGTTTAACTATGCACTGCATGAAGAAGGACTTCCAGTGATTCACTTACTCCTTTTTTTTCCTTTTTCTTTTGCTAATGCATAACTGACCACCCTACCTTCAAATGCTTCATGCGGGTACATTGTGGGGATCCCTTTCAGAAAATTTTAAACGGCACATATGCCAAAAGTTCTCCAGATTTTGGTGTGCACGCAAACACGATTCTCTAGGTGATAAATAAAGAGGATGGAGCGACTCTCCTAGAGGAAAGCTTACAGCATTTGGAACTTTTTAGTTCATAGAAAAGATGAATAAAAGGCGACATGGTAGATGTTTATGAAATTATACATGGCATGGAGAAAGTAGATAGAGAGGAAAAAATCCTCCCTCTCTCACAATGAACATCTGAGGATTCAAGACACACAGCAGTGCATAGATAAAAATATATTATTTGCTCCCACCAGATATATTGATGGCCACCCAATTGGATGGCTTTGAAAGGCAATTGGAGAGGTTCATGGAGAAGGCTGCTAGACACAATGGCTAGGCTCTGCCACCACTGCTCTGAAGACCAGATGCTGGGAATCACAAGTGAGGAGACGGCTGCTGTGCTCAAGTCCTGCTTCCAGGCTTCCCATAGGAAGTCACGTTGACAGCAGGATGCTGGGCTAGATGAACCTTTGGCCTGACCCAGCATGGCTCTTCTTACGTTCCTAAACCTGGGTACCACCTACCTGGGTACCACTTCTGCTGTCAGAGGCCGTATGCCACTAAATACCAGTTGCTGGGAATTGGAAATGAGGAGAGGAGTGCTCTTGTGCTTGGGTCCAGGATGCTGGACCAAATGGGCCATTGGCCTGATCCAGTGGGGCTCCTTTTATATTCTTAAGTTTATATTCTTGGTTTTCTGCATCAGGTGTGATTGGATGACCCAATCACACCTGCTGCAGAGAGGTAGCAAGATTAGCCACACTCAGAGGAGATCAGGCATGAGTCAGTGCCCCAGTTCTTCCTGTTTCCAGTGCGGATGTGGGTCCAGCACAGTGATTCACTCAGAAGCGCTGGACTGGGAGTCCTTATTCTTGCAACCCTTCAGGCAGAAATGTATTTATTTATTTATCTCTGTATATTTAAATCTGCCTAATATAAAAATAAATTTCATATATATATACAATTGAATAAAATGTCTTTTAAAAGGTAAATGAAACCAGAAATGAAACTATATACCACAGATAAAATGGAACAGTGCATGAATGAAAAAGTTTAAGAATTGGGAATCAAGAATCTAGGACGT